AGTTTTTCACGAGCTCTGAAGAGTATTCCCAACGGAATTACTTGCAAGTCAGCCGGAATGTGACAAACAATGTGAAGACTTCCGAGAAATTCATAGAAAAACGGCAAGAAAAGGCAGAATGAAACAGAGTGAAACTTGCCCACAAATATGATAAAAGAATCTTTAGACCCATTCCCAGACCTGGTTCGATCCCGTCATGGGTGTCGTAGGCTGATTTTGGTCCAAAAGTGAATCTAGGGTCGTGTAGGTGGTAATGATGCTAACTGGCACTACTCCAGCTCCCCTTTTTGATTCATAATACTTCCCACTTGCTTCACGGATAGTTCTAAAGCACAGAATTCACGTGATATTTTGCCCTTTCAGATATTTTTGTGACCTTCTTGAAAAGAGACCTGTGTGCAGCAAATAAGAAATATGTACAAAAGAAAACGCGGTAATCTGATATCCATCTAAGAAGGCAGTATCGATCACTCGGAAACCCCCAACACACGCACATTTTTCACATATATCGGTCATTAGTCTCACCTGCTGCAATGGTAATGGGATTTACGAGTGGCAATCAAATTACAGCTAGTTAGTTGCTCTTTGAAGAAAAATTCAATCCTGAGAAAGCGAACTGCATGAACTCTAGAAGCCTAGAATAGCAGAAAGAAAAACTAGATCAACTAAGAACTAAATTAGAGGAAAGTTGTGAAGACGCGAAAAAAATTGAAAAGTACTATCACCAAATCAAGCTTGAAANTTATTTGGCATAGTTACTCTGGGAATGAGCCAGATTTCGCGATCCAGACCCTACCAGCTTTTGACCCGTGTGTCACTGACGCGTGCGGGCGCGGCGCGTTCAAACAATTCCTCAGTTGGGAGCTATGAAACGTAGGATGTAGGGTTATCACCTTACGGAAGAAACCCATTGGATTGACATAACGAACAGCTTCGCGACCGTACGCATCAGCGATTGACAATTCACGACACAAACGACCCAAGAGTCCACCTACACCCACCTATCGAGATGACGCTTGTTCGTAATAAATTGTTCTTCCTAAGGATAGAGCATCCAAAACAATAAACTTAACTGATAATTAGAACTGGAAGAAATCGATAATCGATTTTTCGCAAACCTGAGTGCATAGTGAATATGATGAAACTGCTGGTGATAATCCATACGGCATCATCTTGATAGAGTTTATCGACTTCAGACGAGTTCACACCCATTGAATAGTGATGAATTTCTTAAGCAAAAGTTATTGATCAAAATTGATTGTCTGGAAGCAGCGGCTGTTTACGGTTGCTACTTACGGACGATCTGCATAGCAGACGTATTGAGCGTGTTTGTCGTCGGATCGGTCATCGTCGTTGACAATTAATGAAGTCATTCACATAATTGCATTAACATCGCATCTGAATTGTTGAGTTTTTTTGATGAAATCAATCGATAATCTCTTAAAACCAACGAAAACTGGCCGGCCACNTACTTACGGACGATCTGCATAGCAGACGTATTGAGCGTGTTTGTCGTCGGATCGGTCATCGTCGTTGACAATTAATGGAGTCATTCACATAATTGCATTAACATCGCATCTTAATTGCTAAGTTTTTTTGGTGAAATCAATCGATAATCTCTTGAAACCAACGAAAACTGGCCGGCCACTGCGTTACAACAGTTACGATGTAACCAGGGAATACGGTAAATTACGGTAGGTCGCTGTGACAGTATGATACAGTAAACACGTAAAGATATATAACACTGGTGACGGTTCCAGATGGCAAATATGAACGTAATAGCAGCAATCAATCAAGAGGCGCTACCGTAATCACAGAAAAGAGCATGGCTATAAGTTCAGAGACGTAATATTGTAATCCTCCGAAAAAGCCTGTGCGCTTTCCTTTTGAATAAGACAAGATCAGGAGGGTAGGCCTTTTTGCCATTCGGGAGGACGCTCAAACAAAAGGATAAAGAAATAATACCTATAAAAAAATCAAGACCTCGTAGGTGCATTTTCTTTACTCTGAAATTCTGTTTTAGAAAGCTCTCGAGGGATGGGAGGGAAGGTGCCGTTGTGGTCGATCGGAGTCAATCAGAAGTACAGAATTCAATAGAAAAGGCTGAATCCCTTGAACAAACTGGCAAAAATCCGAGTATATAACGACTGTAGGCAATGAATAAGAGGACAAAGCCTGCCAGAAATACAGTAACCCGTTCAAGCGGCTCGTAGTAATTGATACTGATCGATAGGAAGTAATACCGGGGTAGGTGTTGCCCGCATCGAAGGTAAGCAAGATAAAAATATAAACCATACGGGCTTTTTTCTACTCGATTACTTCGGAAACTCCGAAATAAAAAGACCACATCAGATTGCTTAAGGAAAAAATTGTAAATTTTTACCAAAATGATTTTCAAGGAATCATTCCATAGCACTCTGTATTGAGAAGGAATCCTGTAGCTACTGTACTGAGAACATCGGCAATGAAGTAGGAGAAATAGTATGAGAAAAGCTAAAGAAGCTTGAAAAGCTCTTTTATAAACTTAGAGAAAATAGGCGTGGATTTCCAGGAACCGTATATCTGCTGTCATCATCAGCGAAGATTTCTCTCCCAATTCACTCTTGATTCGGAAATTCCTCAAAAAAATTTTCTAAATCATAGAAATTCTGTGGGAAAAGATTTGGCCGTGAGAAAGGATTCTGACGAGTTGAGGCAACCTTCTGGGAATTTGATGTTCTTTTCATTGAACGGGTCTGACGTCAATATTGGCTGCCCTCTTCGCTTATTTGAAATGATACTCAACTAAACAACTCTTGAAAAGTGAGATGGTAAGCGAAATTCTGAATGGGTGTAGGAGTGGAGGATATCGAAGGTATAGATTAAACTGTGTTCGCCACAGTATTAAGTTATTGAGGGTGTCAGCAGGTCTACGAGCAAACGATTGAGGCCACCTTTCCAGGCCTCTGAGGCTTTCCGAGTCCTCATGGCAGTACCTATTCCATTCATCAAGGCCATCTCATATCAAAAAAGTAAAATCAATATAGTTTGTTTCAGGAAATCAGAAATCGAAATATTGCCAGAAACTTCTTTTATAAATCACCGCCCACATATGTTTGGGTACTCGTCCCATGCCATGGCAAGTGAAAGATCCTTTTGTTTTCTTGTGTGATTGTTTTTCTTTTGAGACGAAATTTGAGTACTGGTTGCAGTGGATGTTGTTGAAGCTGGGAAATAATACAAATCACTGAAAACATTCATAAGATAGAATCTACTCGGACACAGCGGCGTACACTAGTAATAGACCTAATCGATTCCTATAATGCCCAATTAT